TTTTCCTTTGCTATTACATTATTATTTTCTGGGGTATAAATGCATGCCTTGTTTTTATGCCTTTTAAAAGGCAACCAATGTCACACATATGACATTTAATCAGAAAATCGATCATTTCTTCAAATATGACATTTAATCAGAAAATCGATCTAAAAATGAGACATTTGGTGTTTATCGATTTTTCAGGGTCGACGGGTTGTATGAAAAGCGAAGGCTGAGTAATTGAAAATTAGAGGATTGATGGTTGCTACTAATTGCTTGTAACTGGTATTGGTTTCATATCGATGGATGTGGATTCGCATATGAAATCAATTGTGTTCGCATCTATGAAATCAGTTCGCATATGACATCAATTGAGTTCGCATTTGGTTTTGTGGGTCAAAACAGTTCGCATAAGAAGTTCACGATTTGTTTGAGGTTAATTGATTTTGATTTCGCAAGCTTGGAGTCGGAGATCTGGATTGTGTTCGCATCTATAGAATGCGAGGAGAATTTAATGGTGATATTCAATTCGCATTTGGTGACACAAGTACGTGGTTGATGATTTTTTGGTTGGTTCGCATTTGAAATCAGTGGGTTTCGCAATTGGGTTCGTATATGGGTTTCTCAAACAACTGAAATGCGAATATGAGACAACTGATTAATTTCTCAGTTAATGCGATGAAATGCGAATGAACTCAAAGACGGATGGATGCAAGATGCGAAGAATTTGAATGAAAATGCGAAGTTTTTAATGTATAAATGCGAATTGGGGAAGAAAGATAAGAGTTTCGCATTTGGCCCCTGATCTTTTCAAGAAATAATATAAGTGGTCCAACTTCGCAAAATGGGGTCATAAAAAGACAAAAGTGCAGAATTTTCATTTCGCATCCCTGTAGTCTTCGCAAAATGGAAAATTTTACCCAGTTTCGCATTTGGGGTAAATTTTTTTGAGAAATTGGAATATTTTCAAACTTTTTTTCTTAAAAAAAACACATTATCTTCGTCTAAGAGAGGGAGAAAAACGATTAGGGTTTATAAGGGAAATACTTCATGGCAGTGGGATTTATAGCAGGGTTTATAAGGTGGAGAGAACAAACACACGTCTGCTATGAGATATTTTAATCAGCTGCAAATGCAACATTTAAAGGATATTTGTTGAAGCGTATTAGGATGAAAAAGTTTTAAATTTTGAATGACCATGAAATTAGGATTTTGCTGAGAAATATAAGGAGTCAAAACAAATTTAAAATTTAATATTATTTTATTAATGATTGTTTGTAATATTAGCTTAATCGTTTGTACGTCTTAAAAAAATAATATTATTATATTCATTCTATTTATAGAAATAGTTAGATTTCTTTTATAAGTAGTATATATATATATATATATATATATATATATATATATATATATATATATATATATATATATATATATATATATACACCAATGATCCATTGATAATCATGACGATTTTATATATGGATAAAATAATCCAAAATTTTAGCATCGACAATTTGTCGTACTTAATAACGAAATCGTCACTTTTTTTTTTTTTTTTTTTTTTTTTTTTTTTTTTGAATGTTGCAAAACAATTTTTGAAAAGTGTGGCCGATAGGTCAAAATTTTTGTAGTCTAATCTAAAAATAACTAAAACAAAAGAAAAAAAAGACAAACATGAATAAGAAAAAAAAAAAAAAAAAACACGAATAAAATGATAATTTTCTATATAGTTAACGAAATCGCCAAAAACACTATCCGTGTAGCATTTGAAAACTATAAATACTATTTACACGAATGGTCCCTGTGGTTTAGTGTAAATTACAAGCTTGGTCCCTAACTTATTTTTCTAACTCGGACTATCCTCAACTTTTAATTATGTAACCCGCCTAGTCCCTATTCTCACATTCCGTCAATTGTTTCCGTTAGACACCCCACGTGCCTTGCACGTTGGGGGTATAAAAGTCTTTTCACATATCCAATGTTATACCGCCAAGAAAAAAAAGGACGTATCGTTGATCAACGTGATCAGACACAAGCTTCACAGACAAACCCTTTGAAAACCCTTGATCGAAAGAACCCTACATTTGAAAACGACGATGGCGCCTTGGAGGATACGTGCTACCATGGACGAGATTGACGTTGCTCGTAGATATGGTAAGTGTTTACTCCCTCAATCAGTTAGTAACTTAAAAAGAAAAATGTGACTAACCAATCTTTCCGTGAATATACAGCCGGACATCCGACGATATTCTCTGTCCGATTACACCATGGTGGACAGTTTACAAAGTTCCCTGGAAGAAAGTACATCAAAGGCAAGCAAAATTATGTTGATTTACTAGACATTGACACCTTTTCCATTCACGACATTGACGAGATGATGGAGGAACTTGGGCATATTGATTCAGACGAAACACTACTCTATTATCATTTCCTGAGACCATTTGGCGATTTGGATTTTGGGTTATTTGCTTTGGGTTCAGATCAGGATGTTCATCATCTGGGTACGTATGTTGCTAACCATAAGGTAATAGATGTATATATTGAGCATGGGAAAACAAATTTACATACTTATTCTATGTCCCCCAACCCTAGTAAGGTTAAAATTGTTGAAATTAAAGAGCCACCAGCTTGCTCCAAACAGTTGTTCTTGGAGTGGAATGACTCTCCAATTGAGCATGAGAGTGTTCCAGACCTAACAGAAGTTGAGAATGATAGTCATTTGGACAAAGAACCATCTTTGGTCGACCATATTGAATTTGAAATGAATGTAGAGAATGAGGATGATTATGATGGTAGTGGACACAACAATGGCAGTGGAAATGATGAGTTTGATGATGATAGTGAGAGTGAAGATAGTGATTTTTTTATTGATGAGGACAATCTCATACACGATGTTGATGTGGATATGAAAGATTTCCATATGAACATTGACAAGGATGTAGAATGGGTTGGAGGTTCTTCTGAAAGTAATGTACCTGAAGATACACAACAAGGTGACTTAGAAGTGATCAACACAGAGGTTTTGTTGTCTGGGTCTTCATCAGATGAGGCAAATGATGGTAAGCGAAGGAAAACTATTAGGGCCATACATAGGGCTTATGAAAATGATGCATCTTTGGTTAGTGAGCCCTTCTACATTTTTCAAACTTTCAGTTCATCTAAGGACTTTAAGACACAAGTGAAACTACATTCCATAAGGACAAGAAGGGAAATACAATTAGAGAAAAATGATAAGAATAGGGTTAGGTTTGTGTGTAAGGGCACTATACCAAATCTTGCTACTAATGAAGAAGAGAAATGCCCATGGGTTATATATTGTAGTAAGTGGAAGCGTGACATAGATTGGATGGTTAAGACATACACGAAGGAGCATCGATGTCTACAAACAAGGAAAGTCAAAGCATGTGACTATAAGTTCCTTTCAGAGCATATAGTACAAGTTATTGAGACAAACCCAAAGATTCCTATTAGGGCTTTACGAGAGCAACTCCAACGTGAGTACCAGATGGACATTTCGCATATGAAAACTTTTAGGGCAAAGCAGCAAGCTTTAAAGCATGTTCAAGGAGATTATGCCAGCCAATACAGGTTGTTAAGGGATTATGTTTTAGAGGTACAAGCACGTAACCCAGATACTACGGTTAAAATTGATGTTGAAAGTGAAGCGAATCCAACTGTTGAGACAAGAACATTCAGGCGTATCTATGTTTGCATTGGAGCTTTGAAGCGAGGTTTTGCAGCGGGAAGAAGGGACTTTCTTGGACTTGATGGAGCCTTCGTGAAAGGTCCATATCCAGGCCAAGTTTTGTCTGCTGTGGTAAGATCTTCTTATTTCTTTTTGTATTGTATGTTCTTTATTTTAATTAGTGTTAACTGACCAATGTTTTCTGGTAATTTATGTTTCTTATCAAAGGCATTGGATGGTAATAATGGGATATATCCTTTAGCCTATGCTGTGGTTGAATCAGAAACATTGAATTCTTGGACTTGGTTTTTAAGTAATTTGGGTGATGACTTAGGTTTGGGAACAAATTCCAATTTCACGTTTATGAGTGACAGGCAAAAGGTATTGGAACCTATCCAAACTAGGTTTTATAGTTTTATACTATTGATGCAGTTATACTAACATACAAACATGTTACTATTGCTAGGGTTTGTTGCCTGCGATTGCAACACTATTTCCATGTGCAGAGCATCGCTATTGTCTTCGTCACATACACGACAACATGAAAAAGAACTGGAGGGGAAAGGTGTTCAAGGATCTTCTTTGGGAATGTGCCACGACCTCTAATGTACAACACTTTCATCAAGCAATGGAAAAACTAAAGAAGCTTAACAATGATGCTTATGAGTGGCTGAAACAAATACCTCCTCAAAGTTGGGCTCGCTCCCACTTTACTGGTATAATGACTTTCGATCTCTACTTAATAATTTTAAAAGAAGGTAAATTGAATATTGACATAGAATTTGTTTATGTTCAGGGAGAGCACATTGTGATGCTCTAACTAATAACCTGTGTGAAGCATTCAACAGCAAGATAGAAGATGGTCGTGATGCACCAATTATTAACTGCATTGAGTTCATCAGTAGAGATGCACACAAAAACCGGATTCACTATTCAAAACCGGATCCAATCCGAAACCGGATTGGGTCAAAACCGGTTTTGACCAAACCGGATCGGATCGGATTTAAAACCGGATTTTCAATCGGATCCTAATCCTATATTCCAAATCGGATTTGATACCGGATCGTAAACCGGATTCGCTAAAAACCGGATCCAAATCCGCCCCAAAATCCGATTAAAACCCACTAAAATCGGTTTAAACCGGTTTCAAATCGGATTAGAATCGGATTCGGATTTTGGTTAGAACCGGATCGGATTTTGACCGGATTCGGATCGGATTTTGACCGGATCGGATTTTTGATGACGTAAGAGAAACCGGATCGGATTCGGATCCGGATCGGATCGGATCGGATTCGGGTTTTGTGCATCTCTATTCATCAGAGAGTACATTATGAAGAAGATAGTCAAAGTTGACAAGGAAATTCAGAAAGTTGTAGGTCCTTTGACTCCTACAGCTACAACAATATTGGATAACATAAAGAGTAAGGCAGAACAGTATGTTGCAACATTTTGTGGTGCTGGAAAATATCAAGTTGCTGGACCATGGCAAGATCAGTGTATTGTGGATGTAGGTCAACAAAGTTGGATGTGCAAAAGGTGGGAATTAACAGGAATTCCGTGCAAACATGGTGTGGCTGCTATTTGGGACATGGGGAGGAATGACAAAGATGTGGGAATCCCAGAATCATTTGTGCATCCATGTTACTGGTTATCAAGCTGGAAAGAGATGTATTCTTTTAAGGTTAGTCCAATCAATGGAAGGTCTATGTGGGAGAAGTCAGCTATACCAACAACTCTGTTGCCTCCAAAACATCGTGTTCCCATAGGAAGACCAAAGAAGAAGAGAACAATATCAATTGTGGAAAAGGAGGACTTTGTTAGAGGAAACACAGCATCAAGGGCCCATAGATCAGTAACATGTACGAAGTGTAACAATGTTGGTCACAATGCAAGAACCTGCAAAGGGCAAAGACCAATTGTTGGTGGGGGTGGTGGACAATCACAAGTAAAAGGAAAAGGGAAAGGGAAGGCAACCACTTGATGGTTTGTAATAGGGCTAGTCTTTTGTTACTTTAAATATGAATGGATTGTGTTATGTTGCTGCTTGTAATAGGGCTAATATTTTGGTACATTATTTACTCTAGTTTGTAATAGGGGCAGTATTTTGATACTTGTTTTAGCCAATATGTTGGCACTTTTGGATGAACTAGTTTGTCACCCTCATTGCCCAGTAATAGTTTGGTACTAATTAATGGAATGTTTTCTTCTTATGATACACCATTGGGTAGATAATAATTTGGTTTATATTGATTTTTACATTTATATTTTCCATAATAGTTTGGTACAAAATTAGATTGTTATATTCTTCTTATGATGTCACCCTTATTGCCCTGTTATAGTTTGGTACTAATTAATGGTCAATATGTTGCTTATACATCACTTTAAAACATAATCAATACAACACTGCTACAACCATTACAGTACATTTGCATTACAATACATAGACAACCTAACCAATACATAACACCATTTTCATTGATCTTTAAAATCTTAACCATCTGCATTACAATACATAGACAACTTAACCATTACAGAAAAGGATACCTTCACATTCACTGCTACAACCTAACCATTATAGATAATGATACCATCACATACATTGCTACAACCTAACCATTACAGAAGACTTTACCATTACAATAACAACTCATCCCCACCTTACAACTTGTAAACAAGTATCACCAAGAACAATACCCAACTAATAAATAAACATATTTTCAAGAAAAGATTTTCATTTTTCAGCTTCTTGTTCAACCTCACAAGCCAGGAGATTGTCAATCTGTCACCATGATCCTTTTCATCATCATCTACCCAAGCAATAAATCCTTTACGTGGTTCCTGTCAATTTCAAAAGCCACGGTTACAATACCTATAATCGCATACAGTGATATCCCCATCTAGGGTTACGATTACAAAATTCTCAACTACAACATACCTTAATTGGACATGCGTAAAAGGGTCTTCCTGGATTATTGTTAGTAGTTGAAGTTCGAATTACAGCAGCACGCCCACAATCGCATTGAACCATCCTTGATTTGAAGGAGATTAGGTGTAACCACTTCAAACGATGGAGGATTGAAAGAAACTACTCTAAATTAGGTTCGATCCTGATGAAAAATTAGTATTTGAAGATCGTTGGAAATGTGAAAAGACTTTTATACCCCCAACGTGCAAGGGACGTGGGGTGTCTAACGGAAACAATTGACGGAATGTGAGAATAGGGACTAGGCGGGTTACATAATTAAAAGTTGAGGATAGTCCGAGTTAGAAAAATAAGTTAGGGACCAAGCTTGTAATTTACACTAAACCACAAGGACCATTCGCGTAATTTACTCTTATCTTTTCGGAAATAAGCCTACTATATATTAAAATGGTTAATTTTTAATTCATATTTTCAGAAATAAGCCTACGATATATTAAAATGGTCAATTTGTAATTCGTATTTTTCTAAAATATTGTCTGTCATGTTCATACTGAAACTTGTTTTTCATTTCTATTTTATAGTTTGCACATATATTTTTATTATTTTTAATATACATTAAGATATAAAATATGAAAATGTTTCCAGATTCTCTTAAAGTTATCTAAAACAATATAAGACTCCAGAAGGAAACCACATATTAAATTAAAAATAAGATCTGAAAATGGACGAGAATATATAACCCTTCAGGCTTCATGCCATATCCATTTTGTTAGAAACCCTACACCTCCAAAAAGAGTCTTTGGACTTTGCAAAGGATCACGAGAATGCTGGATGTCAATTCCTTTCCATCCTTAAAGTGTTTTTTCCATGGTTGGAAAATTAATTAATAAACGAAAAAGAGTTCAGTATTTTCTTCATACAATTGTGATTTCCTTTGCCATGAATTCCGTGATTTATCTGCAAAAGATTTTTAAGAAAAAAAGAAAACATACTTCCATTAACTCCAACGGCTGCCACACGATCGAGGAATTATTGGTTTCTTGGTGGGAATGATTACATTATATATATACTAGGCGTTTTTTTTTCTTTCTTTTTATCGAAAGGCATATCAAATTTTAAAGCATAATAAATTACAATATCCCAGTGTCCATATCATCCTGTCCTAATGTCCACGGAAGAGGTTAATTGCCAAACAAACACAACAGAAATAAAAAATCTTATTTAATTAAATACGGTATTAGGAGGTAACATATCAGTAGATGTGCCTCCGATATGGATAAAACCACCACATTGTAAATGAACTTTTAAGTAATAGACACAAACTTTTTATACATTGGCACATCACCTATATTTATGCACGGGTAGCCTTACCCCGTCTTATCCTTCAAACTTTTTAATATAGTGGAAAATTTTCTATATAAGATCATGTGGTATGGGCAACATCATACCGCGTTATACACTGATGTGGCAGTGCCCAAAACGGCGCCATAACGTCCGAACACCGCTTCAGCGCCCCCCGTTATGAGGCGTTACGCGATAATGCGTTACCATGGTAACGGATGTTAACACCTAATTTTTCGACCGTTTCACTTTCTAAACTGTTGAAAAATGGTAATATTATGGTTGGGTACATTCAAAAAAAAAAAAAAATACTAATTAATTTTTTTAACTATATCAATACATATATACCTCATTCTACAATTCTATTTCTCTATATCTATCTCTATTTCTTTTATCATTCAAAACACAAAAAAAACCCTATGGATCAAAACCAGAATACTTCTTCTCCGAACACAAACACATCGATTTCATTAGGTTTTGCAGGATACAAGGGATACATGAACCTTTTAAATTCCTAAAACTCATCACAACTTCCATATTCTGACAATTTTTTCAATCTCGCCTCACCCCGACTACAATTCTCTACCACGCCTTTTATGGAACAAAATGCAAACATTCGACAAAACCTTTTTAACACATTCGGTCCCATGCGACAAACAGTTACACGACCTCCACCCACGCAAAAAACGATTGTCGAGACGCAAGCCCGGGTTAGTCAGAAAACATCGGGAAAAAAAGAAGATCAAAAAAGAAAGGGAAAGAGGTCGTTATCGGGGCAGAGCAAACGCAAGCACCTCCAACATGGTGGACACCGGAGGAAGAGCATGCGTTGGCGGTGGCTTGGTACGGGACTTCAAAACAACCAACTTTGGGAAACGATATGAAGAGACTTGCTTTTTGGGAAGCCGTAATTGTCAAATTCCGCACAATTTTGAACATGAATGACACATATCGCAATCACAATATGCTTAGTGGCAAATGGACTCAAATTAGCCGAAATTGCACCAAATTTAATTCCATATACAACAAACTTTCTTCGCAATGTCAAAGTGGTGCCAATGAGTTCGATGTGTTTAGAGCCACGAGGGAGGAATATCATGTGCAAATTGGTCATGTATTTGAGTATCAAAAAGTTTGGAAGATCGTGAAGAAAGATCCCAAATGGATGAAAATGTCAACATCATCGGAACAACAATCAAAGAGGTATCGTGGTTTGGGTTTGGTTGACATTTTCGATACACACACGAACATCGATCTCAACGCGGACACCGATGAGATCCCGGACGAGTTTGACGACATCAAGGAAATCTCTCCGCCACGACGACCAATGGGGCGCGACAAAGCGAAGTGTGCTCAAAACATGCAGAGGAGAATGAATGTCGGCTTCGAGAGCACGGCAAAATGAAAAAAAAAATTGACGCCCACACAGAAATCGCAAATAAAAGATATGAATTGCAACGGGAGCATTTGAATTTCCTTCGTCAAAAAGCCGAACACGATAGCATATCGAAGGATTGTCAATTCTTACGATAAACAAAGAAAAATTACCACCGAGATGAGCTGAAGTGATACGGAGGATGAAGACAAAGATCGAGAGCAAATACTTGGACGAAGAATAGTTTGTCAGTGTTTTTTTCTTTTTTTAAATTATTAGGACTATTTTTTTTTTGCTTAGTAATATTTTTTTAAAAGTTTGTATGCTATATTTAATTTACTATTTTGTGAAATTATGTTTTATTAATTTATACGTTTTTATAGATATATGCCATAAATAAATAAAAAGTAAAACAAATTAGAAATACATAAAGTAAATAAAAATAATAAGACAAATTAGAAATATAAAATTAAAAACATTTAAAAAGAAATAGAAAATAGTATGTGTTATAGTGTTGCCTATTTTCACTTTTTGTATTATAACACCAAATTGTGATTAAGATATCAGGTAAACAATTTAAATAAACAATTTAAATATGATAACATTTAATACCATGTTGTTCACACCTTCTAGGATGCTAGTCTAATGTATTATTTTCTCATATGTTACTCCTAAAATCATGTATGCATCACCTCATATATATATATATATATATATATATATATATATATATATATATATATATATATATATATATATATATATATATATATATATATATATATATATATGAACTACGTTTAAAACATATACAAGATTCTAGTTGAGTTGATTCGTCGAGATAGAAATCTCGTTGGTGAGCCATATATATATAAAATTTTAATTATTTGGAAATAGTACCTACCAAACACTGGTAACTTTATTATATAGTTTTATATTTTTATAACTAAATTTTTATTCACCTTACTGCTTTGTTTTCGGGTGAAAGTTAATTTAAAATAAGTTGATGAAAACTTATTTTATTCAGCTTATTGCTTTGTCGCCTTACATTTATATATAATTTTCAATACAAGCAAGAATGATGTTAATTTATATGATAGTTTATGTTATAATAAATGAACTAATAATTAATTAAGTGGCTATATAAGCATGTGCATAAATTACTTGTGACGTGTATGCAAGAAAAAAAGATAACAAAACGTAAGAAACAAGGGTAATATGTAATTATAATATACTATATAATGTTTGTAATTATGTTTGCATTTTTTATGATACCAGTTAACCTAGCAAGGGGAGTTTAATAACTTGTACACATCAGTACAATTGTAGAAATTTCGTTAAAGTTCATAAACACAAATATGATGAGCTTAAATGATGAGGAGATAGGTAGTTCGCAAGGGGAAGACGAAAAGGAATGATCAATAATCGATACAACAGAACTATGCAAATTACACATTTCATGCAAAACATATTATAAGATGGACTTAGTGCTGCAATCAGGTTTTCGCTTGTTTAGACTTGATACTGTGCTAGTCGTTTTTTGGCTTTATTATCCCGTTTTTTGCAAGTATCTTTATATATAACTATTAATATTGTCGTCGTTTTATAACTATGCAAAAACGACCTGGACCATTTCATATCATCAATTTCTTTATTAAAGACTAAAACAGTTACTTCTTGTTATCCTATCTCATTTAGATTATTGGTCGAGTCTTTTCTTTGGTTGAATATACAATGCTTGTAAAAGAAATTTTAGAGTTATAGAATGACAATGTAACCCGTTAATTGCATCTCATGTAACTCTGTTTGTTTCTTTCCTAGCAACTTCGTAAGTTTCCTTTATAAACTTCAGCTTTTCCAATTAAAAAAAAAAAAAAAAACCCTTATAAGTACACGAAAGAGAGAGAGAGAGAGATTCTATTGTATATATTCTTTGCTAGGCAAAGGTATTTCTCCTTCCAGTTGTATCATTCTTTAATTTTGCGTGTTAGAGCTAGCTTGCTCTAGCAGCTTGTATCTTCCAGAGAATAGTATCCACCCACTTCACCTTCGCTCTTGTATTTGTATGTGTGTGTGTTTGTGTGTGTGTGTGTGTGAGAGAGAGAGAGAGAGAGAGAGAGAGAGAGAGAGAGAGAGAGAGAGAGAGAGAGAGAGTCCTAATTGTATACGGATGATTCAACAATAAGTTTTGCAGGTTTCACAAATACCCATATAGAAATGAAGAGAAGCGATATCCTCAAAGAAGAAGAACATGAACAAGAAGACTATACCACGAAGAAAAACCCTAGCTCTCGAGGCCTTCATGAAGAAGAAGATGCTGATGATGAAGAAGAAGAAGAAGAAAAAGATGCCCAATTAGAAAACACTGATCATCACTCAGCAAGTACTAGTATACCCAAAAATGGATCAACTTCAAGCAACAGCACAGTAGATGAGAGCGATAAGAAGTCTAACTCAACCACCGGTTATGTGCGACCCTATGTTCGTTCCAAGAACCCTAGGCTCCGGTGGACACCCGAACTCCATCTCCGATTTATTCATGCAGTCGAGAAATTGGGAGGTCAAGAAAGTAAGCAATAATTAATCAACCTATTTCATGTCGTTCTGTGTTGTATTAATTATTCATCAAACGATTTCCTCCATAAATATCTGATTTTAATGGAATCTAATGTGTTTTATACAGGAGCAACACCGAAGTTAGTTCTTCAATTGATGAACATTAAAGGGCTTAGCATCTCCCATGTCAAAAGCCATCTTCAAGTAATTCTTTTTTTTAATTAAATTTCATTTTCATTACAGTTCATTTTTTATAGTTATCAATTATAATAATATTTCATAATTTCTGTCGATTGAATTTGTTTAAGTAGATGTATAGAAGCAAGAAGATCGACGATCCAAATCAAGGTACATACACAACAAAACTATTCAAGAAAATTTCAAGAAATTTAATTTTTATTACAAGATTCCAAATATTTTTGCAGCTGTTTCAGAACAAAGGCTTCGTTATGAAAGTGATGATCATCATATTTACAACCTTAGCCAACTTCCCATGCTCCAAAGTTTTTCTCAAAAATCAATTTCCAATTTTAGGTAAGATATTAAATAAAGTAAACTGTTATCCTTTCAAAAAGTTTTGAACTTTTTGATATTAAAATCACTAATTTGTTTCATCCTTAATTACTCATATCTTCTGTCGATTATCAGATATTCAGATGGTCTTTGGAGTCACCACACAAACCAAGATTGCAACCCTTTTATGGCAAGTGGACTTAGCAATGGCGTTCATGGTTCAAGAGTACTTGAGAGATTAATCTATGAAAGGAACAACAACTCAAATTTAAGATGCCTCGCAAACAATAATAGTGAAGAATCCCAGTTGAGATTATTCGGAGATCATTATGGTTGGTCGAAAGAAAAGCCAATTCGAATCAAAACTCAAACGGATAATAGATCAGACATCATCGTCAACGATCAAGACAAAATGGTACTCAAAAGGAAGGAGAGCAATCAACAGGATCAAGAAAATCATGATCTTGATCTGAATCTTTCGCTACAAATGAAAACCCATGAAAATGATGATTCAAGAAACAATGAGGTCAATGAGAGCGAGTGTGCGTTATCATTGTTTTCGTCAATTTCAACGAAAAGCCCTAGTAACATTAGAAGATCAAAGCATGCAAAAACAGTGGGAGGTAGTACTAGTACAAGCCTAGATCTGACTTTGTGAAAGAAACAAAATAACTGTTCAAGTAAGATTCTGAAGGTACTATAATAATATATATTGTTACAAAACAAATTTATATTGCAGGTTGTTTCTCAGCCTAGGTATTCTACTACTAACAATGCCGTACTTTTATCGGTTGTCATCAGTTCAAGTCAACCCAAAGTATGAACTAATGATCCTACTATTATAGGACATTAATTAAATGTGGTCATGTTATTGATCGATTAACTGAAACACTATATTTAGTTGATAAGTTAAGTTTTGTAAAAATTTGGTGTGTTACCGGGTAATACTTGAGCATTTTATAACGGTCTTGTGTTCAAATATTGAGAGTTTCAATTACCCTCATCACATATTTTTTTTAAAGGGGCTGCTTGTATCAACTTAAAATGTGAGTTCTCTCTTACAAACTTTGAAATATCGCGTTGTCGTAATGGTTGTGGGGAACTCATTTTATGTTTTGTAAAAACTGATTAACAAGGTAGCTAAAAATATAAAATAATTTAAAATAAAATAAACATTCAGAAAAATAATTTAATATTATAAGACAAATACATAATATCGCAATATTATTACAAATTTATCACATCTAATGACATGACTCTGAATATTATTAATATTTTCTTCAAGTTTTTATATAGTTTTTTAATTTGTAGTAAAAAAAATTCTTAATTCATAATAAGATTTACGAAATTGGTGATCATTTTATACTAAATATCAGAAAACTTATTATAACCAACACCTAGGTGGTTCACCAAGTAAACTCCATAAGATAGGTATAAAGTTCAAACATCGAAAGTTTCAATTAAGAGTTGCTAGGAGAAGGTATGTGATGCACTTCCATAATGGGTGTTTAGTATCATTGCCGAAGGCGACTCCCATCCCCTAAACCTTGTAATATCGGGTTTTAGGGGATGGGACTCGTAGAGGACGAGGGAGAATTTATTTAACTAAAAAAACTAATTTCATTAGATGATTACATCATTTTAGACATTTATATTATGTTCTTAATTATATTCTAGATGGAGATAGTTTTTGTGTATAATATTTAGGTAGTACCTACAAGTTTATTTATTATTTTAATTTGTTCTCCATGATTTTCACATTTACTTGGCTTGTTTTAAAACCAACCCATAAGGATATGTGTTATATACACTTCCAAATGATAGTGGGGTGTTAATGTGGCTTAAAACACTGGTCGGAACACCATGTCCACCCTTGGTGGCCCCGATGAGACCCTCCCCGTTGTGAACTCGTCTTCATGTTCCCTCTTCTTCTTCTCTTTTTGTGAGTTGTGTCTCTTATTTCTCACTCATTTCTTATGTACACTTCCAAATAAAAGTGGGGTGTAAATGTGGCTTAAAACACTGGCTGGAACACCATGTCCACCCTTGGTGGCCCCGATGGGATCCTCCCCGTTGTAGACTCGTCTCTATGTTCCCTTTTCTTCAAGCGTAGTTCCAACCAGAGTCCAACACATGTCCTAGTCACGCCATGTCCGAAGCGATCTGCCTTCGGTTCCAATGCATGTGATGTCCTCGCATCCGATGCATGGCCCTCGCATTTGCTACCGCATGTTGCCCCGTGTCTTGGTGTCAGAATCGCCACCTGCCCTCTCTTCACCTGAGAAGCTACTCGTGGCTTCTCCTCCTCTCTCCGGATCCGAGCCTCGCCCTATAAATAGGAGGGTGCAAAGCCTCACGGCTAATGTTATAAAATTTCATACTTTTCACTCCTAAACCCATTTTTAAGCCATTCCAACTTCCCCCGAAGCCTCAGGATCATACTCAACACCCAAAGAACTTCCCGAAGTATCCGAAGACCCCGAGAAATTTATCTTTTCGGTTTGAAGCTCAACCCTCACAAGGCCTGGTTTTCAATAAAGCTCCTGGTTTTCATCGAAGAAAGTTAATTATAGTAACGAAGTGTTGCCCAAATTAGTATTTTAACCTCCAATTAATTCACGGTGAGTTCAATATATAGGAATAAATGTATGTTATATGTTTTATGTGCTATGTGATTTTCCATGTTATTAATTCGTGCTATTATGGTAGCAAAGTTGTACCTTTGACCATGTGATCAGCGGAAGGACTTAGATTCACAGGGTTATTGGTATGTAGTCTCTGACCGTGTAGAGCATGTCTCGTAAGAGAATGACTTCTACCCCTACGACATTGGCAGAAGGTTAGATAGGGATGAAAGTCTGAAATCTAACAAAATGTTTAAATCAAAAATTGTATGCCTTCTGTGCCATTTGGGCCGAAGCTTTATTGATGTGCATCAAGTTGAAATTATTGTATCTCATTGATTGTATATCTTTGAATCAAATCATTGATTGATATGGAAAATTTGTCACGTGATTCACATATACCTTTGTTGTTCCTTGTTCCTCTTTGCTTCTGCCATATTGATGTATATATATGGCATAATGTTAAATTGTATCTATTATTGAACTCACTAAGCGTCACTGCTTATCCCTCTCAGTGTTTAACCATTGCATGTAATTAAGATCCTGTATAGACATATACTGTTAGAAGATTTTGAATAGATAATACTATTACTTTTGTAATTAATGTTCATGTATGTATAAAACTATAATATCCTGGGTAGTTATGTAATAAATATAATACTTTGTAATAGTCTTAATAGTCGGTTTGTATCTAGTCTTTAGTAATTAAACTATCAATGTAAAATATTATTTATAAATATGCATGTAGCATGTTTTGGAGTAATTTGATGTAGTTAAATTTTAGAGAAGGGTTCTCTCAATCATATGAAAGTGTGGTCGTTCAACCATGGTATCAGAGTAGTAGTTTAAGTGAACTAAATTCCACGGATTGGTATTTAGACTTAAACCGTTATAAGTTCAATATATGAACGGATTCATTGTAAGTGTATGGATACAAACCTTAGGAAAGGCTTAAGTAAAGTATTAGGTAATGATAAACCCTAATATTCTAAAATACAATGTTACTCCATATTGCAGAGCAATCTCTGAACATGTGAGTAGCGATACACTAGAGGTGGGTGTAGATCCTCAACCTGATGAAGTAAATACTCTAGTATCTCCTCGTGAAGAGTGACTCTTTGTTAAACTTATTGGTGTTATTCGACAGACTCTCGAAGAACACAAAAAGAGTGGTGATAAAGGAAAAGAGAAAGTCACCGAAGAATCTTCAAAAGGAAATACGAGACATCCTTCATTCAAAACTTTCAAGAGTAATGGTGCTACGAAGTTTTTAGGTGTTCTTAATCCCATTGTTGTTCTTACATGGATCCAGAACACATAAAATGTATTTTGTATCTCTCATGTAGTTAATGAAGACAAGGCTAATTATGCTTTTACAATGCTCACTGAGAAGTTTTAGTCTGGTTGGAAGCAATATTTGAAGCTCTCAACGAGTATGACCAAGAGAATCTATGTTGGAAAATGTTCAGAACTCGCTTGTTAGGAAAATATTGTCCTCTAGATATGAGGAGAAGATTAGAGAAAGAACTCCTCGAGCTTAAATAAGTAGGAATGATTGTGATTGATTATGAAACTCAATTAAATCAAAAACATGATTTGCTACAAAATATATTCCGACTGAAGACGATAAAATTCAGTTATTTCTGGATGGACTATGGTATGAAATCTGCGATTTCGTGGCTAATTGGGATGTTCTGTCATTTGAAAAAGCTGTTGAATATGCTCAAAAGTAAGAGCACGACTTAGAAATATGTGGTGCCACTCTTTATGTTCCGAAGCATTCACGTATTGATCGAACTGCTCCTATTTCCTCTATTCCACCAGCTCAATTTATTCAAACTGATCCTGGTAAACAAGTGCAAACTCATAATACCCCTCATGATTGCGGTAGGTCACAATCTTTTTCTCTTCAATCACCCTTGTGTCGAAATTGTGGAAAGAATAATTCTAGCGAATGCAGATTAGAAAAAGGATTAATGGTTTGTTATGGATGTGGAGAAGTAGGCCACATGAAATATGTTTGTCCGATGAAGAATGTTGCATACTTTGCTTGTGGTGTTGTTGGCCATAGGAAGCGTTGTTGCCCTACTCTTACTAGTAAAATATAGGGAAGTCAAGCTTCTGTTCAACAACCTACGAGAAGTCAAGCTCATGTTCAACAACCAAAGTGTACTCCAACTAAAGAGGAGGGGTGCCAAAAGCTAAGGGCCGTGCATTCTAGATTACCATAGAGGAGGCACGCGAGGACCCGGATGTTGTGATGGGTACCTTTCTTGTCAAATCTAGACTTGCTCACATCTTATTTGATTCTGGTGCCTCAGATTCTTTTGTGTCTCATGAATTTGTGGATTCCTTTCAAACTGCTTGCTATGCACTTGCGCAACCATTTCATGTAAATACTGTAGGAAGTATATCATTACTTGCTGATAAAATCTATAAGGATTGTGTCATAGATATTGAAGGCTATAATTTTCTTGCTAATCTGATTCCTATCTCCTTGCCCAACTTTGATATCATTATCGGCATGGATTGGTTGTCAAAGAACCACGCAGAACTCTTGTGCTATGAAAAGATAGTGTGCATTCCTATTGAAGGGAAGAATCATGTTTATGTCTATGGTGGACAAAGAATCTTAAAAATAATCTCTTTCCTCAAAGCCTATAAGTTTATATCGAAAAGGGTGTTCTATTTATCTAGTTTACACAGTTGATATCTCAAAAGAGGAGAAGAAAACTGTAAATGATGTTCTCGTTGTTAATGAATATCCTGATGTTTTTCCCGAAGAATTGCATGGACTTCCTCCAAATAGACAAGTAGAATTCCGAATTGAACTTGTGCCTGGTGCTGCTCCAATTGCAAAGACTGCTTATCGTCTTGCCAACTGAAATGAAGGAATTGACGATCCAACCACAGGATTTACTTGACAAAGGCTTTAATCGACCGAGTACCTCTCCTTGGTGTGCTCCATTGTTATTTGTCAAGAAGAAGTACGGTTCGATGAAAATATGTATTGATTACCGTGAGTTAAATAAGGTAACTATCAAGAACAAGTACCCACTACCTCGCATCGATGATTTGTTTGATCAACTTCAAGGTATTAGCTATTTTTTGAAGATTAATTTGAGATCTGGCTACCATCAGTTGAAAGTACACGAGCAGGATGTACCAAAGACTTCTTTTCGTACTCGATATGGGCATTCTGAATTCCTTGTCATGTTATTCGGTTTGACAAATGCTCCTGTTGCATTCATGGAAATGATGAATCGCGTATGATATGCATGAAAGTACCCACTAATTTTAATATTTATAACCTAACAAACTTAAACTAACTATGCACTTATAGGTAGTGTACCTAGTCAGATTACAGTATAGCTTAGGTAAGTCGTATGTCGATCACAGGGA